GGATAGTATCCTCAATGCCTACGGTTTTTTCGGTGATGCGCCAACAAAAAAGTGTCAGTTGTGTCACCTGATTGGCCATCGTTTCCAAAGGGTTTTTTCTACATTCATAGATGATATGCCCATGAAAACCTCCATTTGAAACCTGGATGATAGGGGATTTTCTCCTGCGAAACCATGATAAACGGAAGCTATCGATGAGACTGGAAAGATCCTAGATGCTCCATGGTGCTGGTATATTTACCTATATACATGTGGGTGATTTTGTTGGGCTAATATTGATACATAATTTCATAATCCATCCATAGAGGATGTGGGGATTGTCTTAAGCACTTCATAGGTGGGGTCATTGAGAGATACTTCAAAAATTCAACATTTTTCCCACGCAACATCTTTCCCAAGATGACTACCGATTTAGGAAAAGCCCAACATCCCATGACAAGATACATATCTTTGTCAATGATCTTGATCGTCGTCATGTGCAAATCTCCTAGTGCTCCTGACATCGACACTGCCGACAGCCCACAAAATTTTCGGTGGCCCTGGTCAGAAAAATCCCATCGTGTTGGAATCCTGCTCTATAAATTCAAACATTAAACGCTATTCATATGGCAAAAAAACATATTATGAATGATGCTATGGCCATCATGGTGGTAAATCATATAAAAACATATATACCTTCCTATTAATGGTGGTATGACCATACCCCAATATGGTGAATCCTTTTTTTCCCTGGCAACAAAAATGCCAGGCACTACTACGTGGTATCCACCCTTTTCGGATAGAAGCAAATTGGATACAGTTGATTATATAATATTTCCCAATATTATCCAAAACAAAAAATAGATCCAATATATTCTTTAAAAAAACAATCAGAAATAGATCCGATATATCCATATATATATCCAATGTTTTTTATATAATATCCATGTGAATCCCCAAATTCTTCCCATGTTGTTCAGCTCTGCCCAAGCTTTCACCAACAAAACCCCTCCTGGATGAGAATCTTTGCCCTTGTGCACTTGGGGTTCGAAGAGCTCGATGTAGAACCTGCCGCTGACACCGGTGGTTCGAAACCAAAAAAAAAATGGGGGATTACTATAGGTAGATAATGGGCATAGATAGATTTGGGATAGTCATTGATATGAAATTTATTGATATTAGGGTGATGGGATTAATTATTGATTTTTACCATGTCTACAAGGTGGTGCCCCATAGTTAGCTAAGTTGGTGCAAATAACTCCCATTTCACTATGGTTTATGGTACGCAAATAACTATAGTTTTCATGGGGCTTATAAACCAACTTATAACTGGGGGGGCACCATCCTGTAGGTAGATAATGGGCATAGATAGATTTGGGATAGTACTTGATTTTTTATTTTTTCTAGATAAAATCCATGATGATGTGGGATGATCATGGATTTTTTTTGGGAACATGAATGGAATATCGATGAATTTCTATGGTATCAATGAATGTGATGTTGATGGGATAAGGGATTACTATACTATCACTAATAACATCTAATAACACGACTAAGGAATATTCATGGGATGTTAGGATATGAATATTGAAGAATACCCTGCCGTAGTGGAAAATCCTTGAACAAAATGGAGGTTTATAGCTGGAAAATCATCAAACGAAATGGAGACTACCACAGGGTAACCAGCAAAAATGGGGATGATGTGGAATATTTGATGCCGATCTTCGATGGCATAGATAGCAAACGATATGATAAGTTGGATAATGATGAAAAATCCATAGAGTTTGGCAAAAAAATGGAAACTCTCACAGGGACAATGATAATAAACCACTAGTTTTTGGGGATACCCCAAGTTCTTTCTCGTTGTTTTTGTTTCGTCCTCTTTTTTCGGGATCGGTGTGAAATTTCCAAGCTCCGAGCCCGCGAATGAGGATTTCACCAGTCAAATTAGGAGATTGAATGGGATTGCAATCCCCATTAGCTATGGTTAAAACCCCTTTTTTCTATTGTTTAAAGGTGATAAATCCCTATTGTGATGGTTAAATTCAATGGTTCAATGGTCAGGAATAAATGACGAAGCAAGCCTGGTCAGCATCAGTTTCTGGGTCCCTGACTCTTCTTGATCTTCGCAACGATCGTCATCCACAATTTCCACCTGACAACGGTTTTTCAGCTCAGTTGGATGAGAGGTTTCCCAGTCCTATGGGTTAGTTCAGAATCCCTAACCCAGTAGAATTCCCGTTTCACAACCGAACCAAGGTATGAAAATCTAGCTCAATTGAATTGGCGTAGTGAGAGAGACTCAAAGAGTGGGAAAAAAAACATGCTCGGCATTGCTCAAAAACGCACTGAACATAATATTCTCTGGTAATTTAACAGTTTGCTATTGAAAATCACCATTTATAGTGAGTTTTCCCATTGAAAAATGGTGATTTCCCATAGAGGGTACCAATAGCAGTCAGCATCACTGAAAAATTCCGCCTCGAAGGACTTCTCCACTTCATCCGGGTTGAAGGCTGGCGAGCGGGGAAGTCCGAAAAACCGCTTCACGAAACATCTATGTATACAATATGAACTAGAATATGTGTAAATATTTACTATGTATATATATATATAAAGATATACTATGTGTATATATATATATATACACACACATGTTGTCTTCAGTCGACAAACAAAATCGGACAGTTCTGGTTCTGCTTACATCTGGTCGACTGCACATGGCAGGTAAAAAGCCAGTTGCAGTAGCAAAATCACCAGCAAATCCAGCAGATCCTAGTCATCCCCAAACAGAAAAAAGTACATAAAAACGACATCCCCATCAAAAGACTATATCATTTTTGCTGACCAATTGATCAATTCTATCAGATTCTATCAGATTCTATCAGATTCTATCAGATTCTATCAAGTATTATGATATTTATGATGGATATGTATGATATTTATGATGTTCTATTGACCATTTATGATATTTATGATGACCCGAGTACTCGTCCTGTTTTTCCAAAGTCCTGGGTTTCCCCCGCTCAACTTGCCCTCAGTGGGCTTGAAGTCTTCACCCGAAGTGGCAGTGCCATCTTTCGTCCTTCGCCCCACCAAAAACCCGACATGGAACATCATGGAACCAAAAATTCCGACATGGACATGATCTCATGATTATATCATGAACATATCATGATCATATCATCATATCCATGCTTAAATCCATGCTTAATTGGCTGAACTCCTGTAGGACACGGAGGCCGGAAACTGTAGCAGGCCACTTCGCGTAACTATCACTTCGACCTGACGGCCGCGCGATGAGATACTATGAGTATATGAAAGTTAAAATTTATTGAAGATATCCTTCTAGCTGTATATTGATATATATATAATATATAATGATATAATCTGATGATCATCTGTGATGGATGATTGGTGATAAAATAAAGATCTCTGTGTTAATGATGGCAGCGAATGATCTCTAGACGTCCCACAGTTGTGGCCTTGCCACAGGTCTCCATGCAGGCCACGGACATAAAGACAAAGTTAAACACGCAGCGCTCTTCATGAGACCTCAGTGGTTACCCGGCCTGGTAAACATACAAAAAGCTATGGGAAATCACCATCTTTCATAGGTAAATCAACTATAAATGGACTATTTTCCAGAGCTATGCTAAATTACCAGTGTTTAAAACATGGAAGTCTCGTTCAGTTTCTTGATGAGGCTTCATGGTGGCTTCTTTATGAGGATGTTATGAGGCCTTTACGAAGTTCACTGTGTCCCAAGCATAGAAACTTGATGTGGGTCTGAAAATTATGGGGAAAAAATGATAAATATTCCATCGGCAATATTTTCTTGATGAAAAAAAATGAATGGAATTCTCTTATGGAAATTTCATCCATGATTTTCTCCATTCAGATTACCATTACCCAGTTGTTTTTTTTGTTCCATATCCCATCTTCGGACCCGAAGATGGGCTTCGCCATCTATAGCCAGGTCGATCCAGGGATGGTAAACGTTTACATAACTGTGGAAAATCACCATCTACCATTGAAATAATGGGTAAATCACCATTGAAATAATGGATATAATCTAATATCACCATAGTTGATGTGTTGCATAAATGTGGAAAATCACCATTGAAATAATGGGTAAAACTAGCCATCTATGGCCATTGTCAATGGTTATGTTAGTTTGCCAGAAGTGCTTAAAGTACGACTGAAGATTGTTTGTAGTTGAATTTAGCAACTATTTAGGGGACAAATTAGTTGGACACATATTTAGTGCAACTATTTCGTGGGAATATGTTTGTATTTCACAATATTGGGACTCTCTTCCCAGCCCAATATTTAGTGTCACTGATTGTTTGTGTATTGTCCCACTTGAAGTTCGGCTCTTCTATTCTTTCCATCAACCAATCAACTGGAGCAGAGCTTTTTCCAGCTTTTTTTTGTCCGGACTCACCGACTCGCTAGCAGTGCTTTTTCAGATTCACTATGCTTCACTTCATCTATCTGCGCTGAGTAAAATTTCAACTCAACTTCCGCAGAAGATCAAGGCCCCGCATCACTTCTTCCACTTCCCCAGATCACATTTTTCGGATCAAAGGTGTATCATTCAATGTTCCCAAGTGCGTACTTCGTGTACTTGTTGTCAAAATTGGATGCCTCCAATGGATGACATAAACAGATCTGCGAGCTAGCCGATCGATCCGGGGTGCGATAGCTGCGATAGCTGCGATCCGGGGAAACTTCGGCATTCGGCTACGGCCAATCTACTGGTACAAACGCGTGCTCATTGGCTGCGGATTCATTGACGTTCATTGTCTCTGCTGGTTTTTGGTAGCGGCATGCTGCGGTAACAGCAGTGGAGTCTACGAAAAGAAAAAACATCCGACTGGGTCACCTGAATCGCGGGCTGTTTGAATGCAAGGCTCTTCAAATATTATACATGTGATATATACGTATTTTATATATACACATATTGTATATATTTATGTGTATATATGTATGTATACCGTTATTAATGGTGTACCTATTCAGAAACCATCTCAGATCTGCATCCACTTTTTTCTTCTCCCGGGCACCACCGGCTCATTGGGAACATTGCCGCGACATCGTGGAGAAACCCTCCATGACTTCGTCGTCGTTGAACTCGAAGAGGCAGACCGACTCGTCCTGTCGAGGGGTGCCCCAGCGATTCTCTACGCCGCTACGCGTTCAGTTGGTGCGTGCGTGCGTGCGTTTATAACTCCAATTTCACGATGGGTTTTAATGGTTGTTTATGGTAGATTCATAATGACATACTATTCCTATGGTTATAATATCTAGACTTACTAGACTTACTATGGCTTCATGCTAGATTAATATTGACATACTAAATTCCTATGGTTATAAACCAACAAACAAACATCACAACGGGGGGGCACCACCTATATCTCCCTGGTTCAATTTTCTCCACAAAGCAAGGATCAGCAGGACCCATGGAGGCGATCCCTGGGTTTTCCGTCCTGGGCACCAGAAATGAGACGGTGTTTGCCTGCACAATCCTGGACATCCCATGTGGATTGAGGTGATTTGGTGCAGAAAAAATCCCCGATACAAAAAGGGGGCAAAACTCGTGAATCTTAAGCATGAGTTTAACTCCTGCTTCGTAAAATATACCCTCTGGTTGTGACTAACAGTTTGCCATGGAAAATCAACATTTTTTAATATTTTTAATAGGTAAACCATCTATTTCTATGGGCCATGGCTTCCATGGCTATGTTAGTCATAACCAGAGGGTAATTTGATAAAGCCACTGCCATAAACCCATTTTGATGGTTTCAGTTCAAGCAATCGTAAAATTGGGTGACCCTACCCGAATGGGTTTGTCGGAGAATCGGCTACCTACAATAAACCCATGTTCAGACACATCCAACTGTCGTATTCCTGGTGCTCTATGCCAGTGATATCCCAATTGTACCGTACCTCTATAAAGTCAAATCAAATCATGCCAAAACCCTATGGTTTCCTATTTTCCCCATAGTCTCCATAGTCTCCGATGTCATGTTCTTTAGCTTTAATCATCCCATTGACTGAAATCAACCATTTGCCTCGACCATCTTCCCATTGAAAAACCTTCCACTACCGCGGTTGATTCGCAGAGGGAAACTGATGATTACCTTCCCATCACACGAAATGCAACGAAGAATCTCCCCATTTAGTTCGATTAGTTGAAGATTGTCTCCATAGCAAAGTGTCACAAGTCAAGAATCGCATTTCGCGGAATTCGCGAAGTTCGCAATGTTAAATCATGGTAAATCCTAAGGTCCTAAGCAACATCACCATGAAATCTGACCCACACCAGGCCTGCCAGGCCAATGTGCCAACAGTGAGGGAGTGACCCGAAAGACCCAGCAAAGCCTGGAAATGATGGGGAAAAAAATCATTTCATGGGAAAATGATGGTAAAATGTTGGGATATTCATGCCTCCAACAGAAAATTTGACTTCTGAATTCTCAATCATTGGACCGCTGTGCTCAACTCTTCAATTTCGAAATACCAGGACGGAGATCTCAAACGATCCAGTCAGAGGGAAACAAACTTGATAAAAGTATATAGCAAGAAAAGATCCGATAAAATTAGATAAAGATCCATGCAGATCCATAAAGTCATGCATTTCTGGATGTATCTAGCAATTCTCGGTTTAGATTCCTGAACTCTTGGGCCATGGGGCCCCTTTTTGACATTCGAAAATCATCTGTGCGAAAAAAACCGGTGTCACCAGCTACAGTTCCTTGATTTTCCCAAAACCCACGTGAAAACGGGGATCTTCCAGTTGATCCCTCCATGAGTTCCTTGATGTCCCCAGCATTAAACCTCCATGTTTCATCATTTTCCCATGATTTTCCCATGATTTTCATGAGGAATTCCCAGCTGCTCCACGTGTGCTGAACGTTTTTTTATGGAAACGCTGCGCCCAGTGGCTCGCACATAGCCCGCAGAGTCGATGATCTCCTGAGCCGGCGAAGCCACAACCGTAGGAAAACCATGGGATTTTCCCGTGGGAAAATGATGATTTCATAGGAAAACGATGGAAAGATCCACCATTTTTCATGGGTAAATCAACTATTTCTATGATTTCTATGGTTGTTAAATTACCAGAGGGTATACAAATAGAATCAAATGTAAATATACCAAGTTCAACCAACGATAAAATCTAGAATTCTATATATCCATGGGTAATATATCACAAATAGAATGATATAGAATTATATATATATGATAGAGATAGAGAATTGAATATAGAATGATGTAGAATGCTGTATATATATATATATATGACAGAGATAGACATATATATATATATACATTCCACTAAGATTCTGGTATATTGTATGACAAATTCCTCCACATTGCCTGTACCACGTTCCGAACGCCTCATCGGTCTTGTCCTTTGCGACACGTTCCAGCGTTTCGATCTCCTGAAACCAGCGTTTGAAAAAAAAGCCATGGAACGAAACGCGATAGGTATGATCATCAACAATATGATAGATGGCAATAATGGAAAATATATATATATACTAATGGTACTACTGTACTCAACATTGGAGTATGCATGGGTATATAATTGTTAATCTAGACTTTGATCATTTCGCTGGGTTTGGTACCTGGTTTATCATCATTTTCCCTACGAAAGTCCTCATTTCACTCCAAGAGCTGCTAGGTGATCTACCCGGAATCTACCCGATTCTAGGCTTACCATTCATCTTGCAAGCCCTACTTCTGGTATTAGTAATGACAGTTCCTTGAATTTTGAATACACCAAAAACAAAGCCATGGTTTACTATTCATTTTGGGCCCCCCTTGTTTTAGTGGAGTTCAATATGATGTTGGATAGGATTATTGACATTTATCAGTGATTGACTCCTATTTCGATCTCCATTTGTATAGGTGTTATGTGTGTATATATATATATATGTATATGATTTTCTAATCTATTCATGTATCATCATTTATCAGTGAATCAATGATGGATTCAATGAAGTTTATCTCCAATTCTTGTGTACTATGTATATTAATGAAATCCTTGGAACTGGGAACTCCTTGAAATCCCAAAGTCCCAGTGAAAAAAAACTGCTTGCTTAATCATAAACCCCAAAACACCAACTTACCCTCTGGTAAACTAACGAACTAAATTTTGGAAAATCACCATTTGTTAATGGATAAATCAACGAACTAAATGGGCAATTTTCAATAGCTGTGTAACAAATTACCATTTATAGTTGATTTACCATTGGTTTCTAATTTACCAATGTTACTACCATTTATGCCATATCAAGCATGTATAACAAATTACCAGAGGGTATCTTCCCATATCATCCCATTATTCACCATTGTTCACCCATTGATCTGCACCATGAAAAGTCACCCATGTTGATCCCATTTTTCTTGATTCAATATCTATTCATCACCATAAAATACATGTTTTTCTCCCCATGAAATCATCATGAAATCACCATAATTCACCATAAACTCACCATAAATCTCCATGAAACTGTTACCCTCTGGTAAACTAAAAAAATAGTGATTTTCCATAGCTTTTTGTATGTTTCCCAGAGTGTAGTTTCCAATCTCCCCAGCTATCCCTTGCCTCGGTGAGCTCTCTGACTTCAGCGGGATCCCCCTCACCGGCGTGAACCCGCTCGATGACCTGCGCTTCGGAACGGAATGGCCATATAAACCAGGTGGTTTTTGATTGGAAATCATATGAATTCACAGAATTTTATCATGGATATCTTCGGATAATGGGGATTTCATGGGCATATAAACTGGAATGTTATGGGGCTCTATATATATATATAGCATTATACATATATATATATATATTTACACATATATCTATATAGCATTATATATATATAGCATTATATATATATATAGAGCATTATATATATATATAGCATTATATATATATAGAGCATTATATATATATATATATAGAGCATTATATATATATATAGCATTATGTAGCTAAGTTGGGGCTAATGGCTGCTATATAACAGGGATATTGGCAACCCCCAAAGGAAGATGCCATTCTGGTGGCACCCCCTGAAGTTTTTGTAGCTGGGGAAAATCCATGGAACGAAATCTGGTGACTTTCCATTGCCATCTTACTGGAGGGTATAGAAATGGACGAGATCATCTCGAAATTCATGTAAATATCGTGGATAACATCGAAACGCTTTTTGGAAATGTGATTGGAAATGATTCCTTAAATTACGGAAATGGAATGAAATGGACGAGAGTCCGTTTATGATATATATATATATATGTAACTAAACTACGAGTACTAACCATGCGTTTATCATGATTAAAAACTTTGAAATCAAGTCAATAGATTGTTCATATCAAAATCATCCAAATAAACAGTTTATTAAAACATATTAATTGTGGAAGCAAATCCTTAAAATCCCCAGCTGATCTTCCAGGTGCGGACGTTCCGACCTGCTCACGTCGCTGTTTGAGCTCCGACAGAAGGTCACTAACCTCGGTCCGTGTTGTTTTGAAGAACCCTTTAAAAAATGGCGGATTTAACAATACTTGACGAAGCATTAAATTCACCATGAAAATAACAATAATTGTTATCACGGTTTTTTTATGGTTAGTAGTGACTAATGATGATTAATGGCTTTGGTTCGCTGGGAACATCATCGAACAAAAAATGGGGGGCTGATCGGCTGATCCCGCACCCAATCATCTCAACTTGAGAAATCCCATATCCGATTTTCATATCCCCATGATCATATTCCCATGATATTCCGAATGTTAAAAAAATCAAAAAAAAAAAAACGAAAAGTCCTAAGATACACCTCCCAATATCCGGTGAAGTCGGTGAAGTCCCAATTTTCTGCTGAAAACTCTCCAGTCGTCATGGGGATCATCCCATGTATAAATGGAGCTTTCCGGCTCGTCATGGGGGTACCCCACGCGAGCTTAGGATGGTAACCATGTCATGGAAAATCCCAGACTATAAATGGATGAGAACGGGGGGGTACTCCTATGACTTAGGAAACCTTCATATATATATATATAATTCCAATGTGGGAAGTTCAAGATGGATGAACATCTATTTTAAAATTCCAATAGATAAAACGGTCAGCATGTTGATTATTTTAGGAAACCACCAAATTAAATGGTTTATAAGTGTCGCTACTAACCAGCTACTACGTGTTATGATGCTGTGCTGAGCTTCCGAGCACGTCCACCATCGTCGGTCTTTGTCAAACGGCTCCTTTTTGCAAGGCCGTTTGACTTTTGCACCAAACTCCCTGAAACAGGTCTGCATATATATATACATATGTATTGTGTATATATATATATGTATTATATATATATATATGTATTATATATATGTGTGTGTGTTATATATATATATATGTTATATATCACATATATATATATGTATTATGTATATATATATGATATATATATATATAGTTATATATACATGTATTGTATATATATATATATATTAGTTTTACATAGCTTTACAGATGAAGAAGCCTGTTTTTACATCTCAAAACGGGGACTTCCAACTCTCACCTGCTGCCAAGCCAAGCCATGTTTTTGGGCTCTCCTGAGGCCGCTGGGATTCAAAGCCCACAGCCTCACAGAACTATCCGCCGCCCCAGATGCGAAGAGCGATCCATCCGGAGACAACGCCAAGCTTCTGACCTCGCCGCCGTCGTTTGACCGGTCCATGGGGTCGTTTTTAAACGTTGATGGGATAAGATGGGCATGGCTAAAGAAAAGGCCGGATGAATATAGGATAATGAATATCAAGGTCATAGGTGGGATATAGATGGATATAGTAGGATATTCAAGAATATGGATTCATGTGGGATAATATGCTGGGAGGAGTGAGGGATCAGAAACCATCCTATTCACCACTGGGGGTCATTCTAGAAACATTATCCCATCTAGCAACGGGCGTTCTCCCCGAGTTCAGAAACCGAGAAAACTCATGGTGACCATGGCATTTGGTGAAATTCTCCACCGGTGGGTGGTAACTATGGCTTTTGAACCGACAATATGATGCTGTCCTGTCCATTTTCCCTTCAATTCTGTTGAAAAATAAAGGTGCAACTGATTCGGGTATGACCGTTGAGGCAGCAAGATGAATACACACCTCGCGGCATCTTGCATACGTATCTTGCATACACATCTCGATATCATATATATATATATAATTAATTAATTATCATCTATATACAGTATATATATATATATATGTATATACATACATAATATTCATGTACTCATATACAATAAACGACTTCGTGTACCAGTCGCCTAAGAATTGCTCAGGCAAGATCACTTGCTTCACACCTGCCGAAGATCGTGGTGGAATGGCCGCCACTCCTTGGGCCCGAACACACGAGGTGTGGCCCATGTAGCTCGCCAGAGGCGGATCCCGCTGATTCCTCGGAAAGCTGACCACAAAGCTGTCTGGGGGTGCATCCCAGTTACGAAGTTAAAAAACGCATATCAATGAGATTCAATGCAGTTATCAGCAAATCCCCCGCCAAAAAAAGCATATCTAAAAAAAAAACTATGAATTAGTTCATCCCCAAAAAAACGATAGAAAAATTGAGTAAAAATCCTAATTACAACTAATTACCATAGAAAAGTGGTGCATTTCACATGACTTTTACCCACCGTTTCGACTGGTGCACATCCATGGCGCCTGATGTCCCATCTCTTCACGCAGTAGTCGTCTCCTGCTGAGAGAAGTTCATCCTTTCCACCTCAGCGAAAGGGAGCCATGGCCACGTAGTTTCGATGGCACTAGTGCTATCTTGATAGTTTTATTTTTACTGCATCATATATAATATGTCATATAACATATATATATATAGGTATGTATGCATGCATGCATGCATGCATGCATGCATGTATGTATGTATGTAGGTATGTATGTATGTATGTATGTATGTATGTATGTATGTATGTATGTAGGTATGTATGTATGTATGTATAGGTATGTATGTAGGTATGTATGTATGTATGTATGTGTGTATGTATTTTTGTATGTATTCTCTATGTAATTACTATATATATATAGTTTGGTGCTTAGTATAGTGCCCCTGAGAAGCTTTGAATTGAAACGCTTCTGATCAACGCCGAGCTACACCACAGGGCCTGGCAGACGGTGTAGCCAGCGGCCGCATCCTGGAGAAGCATCGTAGTAGGAGACTTGTCGGGCGATGGGAAAAGTCCCAAAAGTTCCGTACAAATCATATAAAATCATGATGTATAGTATAATATAATCAATATCTATATATGTATATTATATATACATGCTATGGATAGATATATGCTATGGATAGATCATGATATTTAAGGATGTTTTTTTCCAAATCTGGTCATGAAAAGCCACATCATGGTATTTTAAGAAATTTCAGAATCATTTTATGAAAAGACATGAAAAAATAGCAGTTTCCAAAGCAGGAAAGACGTCCCTCGCCTCGATATCCGACACCAAACACGATGGCAGGGAACCGGCATTGACGTCGAAGACCACCACTCGGCCGTCTCGCGAGGTGGTTGCCACCTGGGATTGTGGCTGTTGACCCATCCCCATATAGACGGACTATTGGAAAACAAAATATTATATATATATATGTTATATATATATATATGTTATATATAATTATATGTTATATATATATATACCGTTGTGACATGAATCGGTATACCATCAATAGGCATTCTATATACTTTATTTTTCCAGATTTCTCGGATCAATGAACATGGAACATTTTGCTACGCTGGAACGCTGGAAGTCTCCGTTCGTCTCATCACATGAAGATCATCAAGCCTCTTTTGCACCTTAGCAGTCCTTCTCTAAACTAGCGAAACGGTGTGGAATGTGTGGAAAACCCACTATGACCATGAAGATCATTGTCCCAACAGGGAGTCATTGGTATTCCACATCCATCTTAGTTTGGGAAATAGTGGGAAAATCATCGGTTGGTAAATGGATGTTTTTATGGTCAAACATTTCCATCAAGCCATGTGAATGATTTCCGTCACGTCCCAACCCCCCACTCCGCGTTGGCAACAAATGGCCTGGTGTCCATCACTGGCCAACGCAATGGAGGTCACAAGACCTGGAAAATCATGGGGATCGGGATATTTTTTCCGCTTTTTGGCGCTAAGCAATGATGGGATATCATCAAGGTGCTATAATATATATATATATAATATATAATATAATATAATATAATATAATGTAATCTAATATAATATAATATAATATAATTATAATAATATAATATAATATAATATAATATAATATGATATGATATAATATAATATAATATAATATAATATAATATAATATATATGTAATATATATATATATAATCCCATGGGATCATTTGCGAAATGATTGCAGATCATTGGATTTAACCATCGAAAAATCCCATTGGATTTTACTCATGGATTTTTGACGAAGTGCGGTGGTTTAGTTCGTGCAAAATCCCAGCATTCACAGAGCATCCAGTTGGGAAAAATGGCACATGTTCGGTGGATCCGAGGTCGGATGTGTTCTTCACCCTAGGGATGGAACCCCAATGATAACTGGACAAAATCCTACCAACCCTATTTGCATATGGAGCTAAAAAAAAGCGCTTTTTTAGCCACTTACCAACTGGGATGGGCCATGGAGATGTTTTGTACTGGAACAACTTGGGCCCTTGCGCCACTGATCAAAAGGCCCCAAGGCATTGAATGAAGGGGACTTCGACTTCACTATGGCCACAGTGAACTTCGAAGGCACAGAATTCGTCTTTGAATTTGTGGGATTCCGATGCCTCCCAGCTACAAGGGGGGTCCAATTCTTTCACACAGATCATCTCCCAAGTTCTTGGGGTGAAGTTATCAACGATGGTGACAAAACCGACAAAAATGACTCCAACAATGTATAATCCCCCATCCAGGTTCCATCAAAATCCCATGAAATCCCATGAAATCCCATGAAATCCCATTTTTTCATGGTAGAATCAAATCCCATGAAATCCCAGTGTTTGATTGTAGTTTTGACGGTAAAATCCCAAGTTTTGATGGTAAAATTCCAAGAAATTCCACTTTTTGATGATAAAAATATCCTAAAATCCCCAATTCCAAGTTGCTGAAAGCTTCAAAAAACAGCCGTTCGAAGTGGCTGTGCCTTCATGAACTTGCCAAGTTCGAATGCAAGTTCCTGTTTCGATGTCGTTCTGGACCACCATGCCATCCTTGCTGCCTGGGCATGCCAGATTTGACCATCAAATCATCGGGAAAATGAGCCAGCCAAGTGGATTGAAAGGGGACAAGAGCCATGGGAAATAGCCCATAGAAATAGAGCTTTACCGTTCTTAAAAATGGTGATTTTCCATGGCAAACTGTTAGTCATAACCAGATGGTATATACTAGTCCTACTTTGTGGTACATAGAGTTGTTGAGATTTTCAGGATTTTGACTCGGGAAATCCATAAATCATCGAACTACTGACGGGCCATTTTCAGTAGCTATGTTAATTGAATTAGAGGGTAATATTCATGGGGTTCAAAATGTTTAGATATGATATCAGTGATATCAGTTGTATCTGGCGCCAAATGCCATGATGTCGCCATATGCCATATACAAAACCACTGGTGCCATTTGTTCAGTTCTCCCCAATCTCAACCATCAAATTCTCGCCACACCACAAAACACATCCAGCCTGAAAGGGTAAAGTTCTTTCCGAGACAGCAAGAAAAGATTTGGCTCGTTTGACCTCAGTGGAATCGTTAGCCGTGACACCCGTCTTGGGGAATGCTGGTTGTCGCTGGGTAAGAGGAGCCGTGACACAGCAGTAGGTAATAGCCATTTACGTTCGTTTGCGATCCGAGGACCATTCAGAGGAACATTTTTAGTGCGGCAAAAATGAACTACCCTCTGGTAAACTTACATGACTATGGAAAGATCCACCATTTTTAATGGATAATTCCACTATTTCTATGGCCATTTTCAATAGCAAACTGTTGACATAACCAGGCCGGGTAACTCAACCAACCCAACAGCAGGTTCCATGGCTCCATGACTCGAAAATCCACCGAGTTGAGTTCAGCACCTTCGAAGGTCTGAAGGCGAGTTCCTTCAGCCATGTTCCACAAGCTCAAGTTGTCCTGGCCACGTTTAGCCAGACCTCAGGAATCAATTTGGACTGATCTACGGGAAAAAAACTACAGGAAACATCAGCAGGAAACCATGATTTTGAAGCCGAAATAAAGGGTTCAGGGGTTTCGCTTCAACCAATTCTAGGAACTAGTGCACAGAACTAGGACTTGAAAGCCCGCGGTTTGCAGCGGTCCGTTTTCTTGCCATAGCCCACCAGAACTCCACGACCACCGGCATGCGCATCCATGCAATACACCTGGGATTGGATCAAGGCAGATAGCTTCTCCCCTTGCAGCCAACCGGGGATGCAATGAGGTTCTGAGGTTCTGTGAGTTTTGATGTACCTCAGTTGATGCTTCACTTAGCGCCACCATCAAGCTGATCCAGTCGCTGATCCAGGCAGTTTAGCACCAACCTATCAGGTCTTGCGACAAGAGGCCGATTCGCCCGCAGCGCACCTCAGGCCGTCTTCAGAGACCAGGAATCGAGTCTGGAACTTGACCATTTTTTCAAATAAAAAGAACTACCCTCTGGTAATTTAACATAGCTGAAAATGGTCATGGAAATAGTTGATTTACCCACTAAAAATTGTGATTTTCAACAGCTATGTTAGTTTACCAGAGGGAAATCAGGAAAAAAGGTCATTGGTTTCTTTTAAAGAATCATGTTTCATAAAATCCTTACAAAGCACCCCCCCATTGGGAAACTTTGCGTTAAGGATGTATCACCTTTGACATTGCTGGGTGCAACGGACGTCTTCAGGTTCTCGTCTGCACGGCTGGCAATGTCGCACGAGACCAACTGAGACGGTTGGGTCCATTGCGTCCATAGAATGGGGATCTGCACAACATGAATGGGGGATTCTGCACCAACATCTATTTTTTTCGATGATGTGTATAACATTGTATAACCCGTTGTATCCCATCAAATATTCACCATCTTTGTGGATGTTCGAAAAAAAAATAAAAAAATAAAACGTGAACAAAACTCAGTTGTGTGATTCTGTTGCAGTGGGACTGCTACATTTGAAATCGCATCTCTGCTGATCGGTCTGATCTTTGCCACGCCTTGCCCTCTCCAGTTGCCGCCAGAAAGATTCCGTCGCCCACCCACTTGACGCTTTCAACCTGTGGCTTCGGTGCTTCGGTCACCGACTTTCCCAACTCTGTCATCGAAATGGCGGGGAAATCGCCCAATGAAAAATGCTGGTGAATCGCTGGCTTCCCATGATCGAAGTACGTATCTGTACAGTAGACATTCCGTTGCCATGATTACATGATTGATGACAGGAAGGTGAATGGATAATTACAGAAATGGGTATTCAACTGTCAAACATTGGACATGATTCGAGATGCGTAGCACAAAGATAAGGACAAACCGACTGATGGCGTAGCCGCACGGAACAGTTCACGGAACTGCGAGGTGGTGACCCCCCCGTTGATATGTGAATGTTGGTTTATAACCATAGTAAGTATCTGGTTGGTGGTTGAGCCCTACCCCTCTGAAAAATATGATTTGGTCAGTTGGGAATATGAAATTCCTAATACATGAAAAAATAAAAATGTTCCAAAGCACCAACCAGGTATAGATATATCTACCATAAACAACCATAAACCATAGTGAAATTGAAGTTATTTGCACGCACCAAAATACCGCGATTTAGCGAACTGGGGCACCACCTTGTATTGAAATAGTGTTGGGGATGACTACAATGTGGATCCAATCATAGACCATCCGTTGTAAGAAAAGCCCCAAGTGCTACTCGTTTCTTTGTTGAGATTGACCACATTCTAAGAAAACTGTGCCTATTGAGGTATCAAATCCCCTTTCAAATCATTTCATAATGAATCATTCGAATGATTCACGCCAATCATCATTCGGATAAATACACATAATATACATGAGCCGCGGAAGATATTTGATACATAACGCAATTGACGGTGTGTTCCTACCTCGTTTTACAGCCTAATTATGATGTGTTCGACAAACCGGGGTACGCCCCAATACTACTCTCCATTTAACCAAATAAAAGCCGTCACTCACATGGCTATTGAGCCTAGTGATATACATTGATATACTATATTCATTATCATGTTAGTATACAAACATAGCTATATGACATGATTATCAACATCTATGAATAGTAATCATCATGTTGGTGATATAATAACTATATATAACTATGAATAGAATCAGCTTGGGTCAGCTGTCCCAACAGGAGGCCCCCCCCCGCCGTGGCATTGAAATGCCGATTGTAGCGCAAGACCTCGGTCCATGGATGGAAAAACTCCAAGAAACCATGATTTTTCATGGAAATCGATAGGAAACCATGATTCGTTCATGGGAAAATGATGGAAAATCGACCATTTCAGTGGAAATCAAGGGAACATCATGGAGATGTCTGGCAAAAATCAACCCTTCAAGCACTTCTGGTATATTTCTGGGGTAGTCACTGAGTTTTTCCAGAAGTACGATTGATACAAGAAGAAAAATGCTCCATTTCCCAGGCCATTGGAGGCTTGTCAACAGGTCAGTTGTCAAAGTTCAAAACAAGTTCCTACTGTAAGACTGCGATAGAAGTTTTTCCTGGAATGACATGTTTTACCCTCTGGTAATGACTAACAGTTTGCTATTGAAAATGGACCAGTCGAAATAGTGAGTTTTCCCATGAAAAATGGTGGATCTTTCCATAGTTATGTTAGTCATTACCAGAGGGTAAATTGATCCTGTCCTCTTACTTGAAACGGGGGATGAACGGTGATGATCAACCTTTGGCTTTGGGCCGTTGGGGGTCCCACGGGCTTCGTGGATCTTGGCATTGGGAAGTGCTTGGCAAAGCAGGGATCATTCTCCACGCTGTTCCTGCCAGGACAAAAAAAAATCGATGAAGTCCTCTGGTTGGTGGTTGACCTACCCCCTTGAAAAATATTACATAGATATAGTCAGTTGGGATGATGACATTCCCAATATATAGAAAAATAAAAATGTTCCAAACCACCAACCAGTCCTGCTTTTTTTTCGAGTCACCCGGTTTCAGCTACACCGATATGATTGATATGATCTATGCGCAATACATGCAGGTGGTCGGCTTGCGTGAAACGGTTTGACGTACGGCGGCAAGGACCAAAATACTGCTGCCATCAATCGCTGGCCATTGTTCTCAACGGCCTGTAGTCCAAGAAAGCGGCACTCGCTGCTGAAAGGACTTCCTGCAGGGCAGACTTAGTTGCTGTCAGGTTAAGAGTGAAGCAGTGTTCGAGGTATCATCATGTCATGTCATCACTTGTCACTTGGGGCTTGGAAATCGTCATGTGATGACCAAGGGCCGAATTGCACGGACATTTCATGCATCACGGCAGCGCCTTGATTCGATCGGGATTGCTAACCTCAGGATCCATGGGGATGGTTATTGGGGAAAGAACCAGCTTCTGGTCTTTGTGACACATGATGAGAACAACCCTAAAAAACCGACCTCATCAAAATTCGGACAAGACCAAAGACACACTTCGAAATTAGTCGGGTTTGTTTTCGTTCAACAACCATTCTACTTGACAACTCCCTGACTTCAGACTTCGCGGTTGCAACCGGCGGACTTTGGCAAAGAAAATACTAAATTCCTCGAAGTCGATTGAGCCGCTCTGGTCTATGTCAATCAGCTTGAAGACCTACAGTGCACTTCGACATGTTGATGCCGGAAGGTCCTCAAGTTCCGGTTGTTTATTATAGTATCATTGAATCTCAAAGACATCATATAGCGTCCACATCATATAGCTGGTATAGATGCTTATTGCACAAGCTCAATTCGCATCATCCAAGTCGTCACACCGACCTTCTTCAGCGAGTTCTTGGAACACCGGACACCCAGCCTGCAGCACGTAGGGCCCTTGCACCACCAATGAGGCCCAAAGGAAATTTCCGTGGATCAGGCCCATCAGAACCATGGTTTTGAGTTGAGAATTCTATTATAGTGATCAACCATTATTATATTATATTATATTGTATTATTTTATATTATATTATTTTATATTGTGTTATATTTTATATTATATTTTATATTATATTATATTTTATTATATTATATTATATTATGTTATGTTATATTATACTATGTTATATTATATTATATCAATATTAGCTAAGTTGTATAGTGATCACTACCACTAAACAACATCAGGGATGTTTTTCATATCGCTTCACCTGGGTCCATCTGAGATCCTCCGTGGGGTTTCACGGCTTCCCATCAAAAATATACGAATCATATGGGGGGCTTCCATAAATGGTGAGATCCAAACATGCTTGATTTATAAGGGAAAATCCATCTATAAACTGGATGATCCAGGAATCTACCCCCAGCCATCAGGAAACCTCCATATGGGGCATCAGAATCCCCACCAGGTAGTATCACTCCTTGTTTCAGAACCAACAGTTTAGTATTTTCTTCATGGCTCATTGGTATCCATGGGAAGCGAATAGAGGGATCAGGGCTATCCGGATGTGCCGCTAAGCTTGCGATCTCCACATGATCCGCTGGCCCCGATGCTTGAAGTAGTGCCCCAAAGCAAACCTTTACCAAATCCAAGACTTTACCTTGTTCAAAAAAGCTGTTTTCTTTATTAAAATCCTTTTATAAAAAATTGCAAAAAACGGGTCCACAAAGGGTACCCCCTTGCAGGTTCTTGCATTTGCAATTAAAAATTGGAATTAGCACTTGCAACAAAAAAAATATTTTAAAAAAACAACATTTCTGGCTCTAGCTGTATTTTTTCCCTTCTTCCTTAGTGTTTTTAATTGTAGTTGAATGGTTTTTAATTGTGAATGCATTGGATTTGTCAAAACCTTACAGAAGCCTTGGGGAAGAGTTGGGATTTTCGATTTACTATTGCAAAGCAGACCCCCCCCTTTAAAAAAAAATAGGGGGCCTCCCCTTTATTATTGTCGATGCAACATTAACCCCTTCTCATCCACTGCCTTCTGGTAATCCACCATGGCTAGCTGGAAAATCCCCCATATACTTCGATCTCCATGGCCAGTTTTCCCAGCGTCCCGGCTTTGATCAATCTTTTTCTAAGTCATTCGTAAAGTAAAGGTCTTAAGAAAATCACGTCCATGAACTAATTACTTCCATATGGCTACCAGTCTACCATTTCCCGTTTCCCGACCCGAAAACGCTGTACCAACACACCAACCACGCGCTGCTGCAAACCGCGGGACTCTCGTGCCGCGGTTTCCAGCTCCTCCAGCTCCAGCGTGCCGCTGCTGTCCAAGTCGATCCGCCGAAAGACCTCGAGGAGAATCCCCAGGTAGGGATCCAATCAGATGGTGAATCTCCATAATCAGATGGTAATTTGTTACATAGCTATTGAAAATGGCCATTGAAATAGTGGATTTTCCCATTAAAAATGGTGGATCTTTCCATAGTTATGTAAACGTTTACCAGAGGGTAATCAGATGGTGAATATGGAGGGATTGAAGGGAGAATCCATAATCATATTGGATCACAATCATTGGAGGGATCCATAATTGGAGGGAGAATAGTCCAATCATATGGGGAAAAATGATTGGGGATTCATGGGACAAGGTGACAAGGTGACAGAATCAGTTGAATCATGATCCCATAATTGGTGAATGATCGAATAGTGGCCTGGGAGTTAGCTCAGTTTCTTTCTTTTGCGATAAAAAAGGTGGGATATTTCTGATCCAAGCACAGGATCATTTTGGGATCATGGCTGGGAATTCCCCGAAGCCAGGCAGGTTTCGTTCGCTGAATTTTCCTCGAAGAGTCCCAACGGAGGATTTCCTTTGCGATTTCCACGTTAGGTTATCGAAGGGTAAGGTTGGGATATTGGTCAAGGGAAGGGAATTAGTATTGAGATTTTTAGTCAAAGGTTGGGATGTGATTTATTTGCTTCCCAACTTCCCAGTGACTAATAGCAAGAAGTTTGGGCTAAGGTGAGTGAGGTTTGTAAACTTCGCGCCTAACATTCCGGTGCTGAAAAAACGAAAATTGGATTTTTCCAGCATCAACATCTGGGGAGAAGTGATGATGGGGATACTGTAGCTAGTTATAATTTATCCAAACACCTGGAATCTACAAACACGTTCTTTTCAAAAAGCTCCGAAAAACCGGAGCTAAGTGATAGTCAAACACCTCCAGTATCACCTGTATTCAGATGGGTGTGTCTGAAAATGGGGAATTTACCACCACGAAAATGCCAGTTTTTGTTCCGAAGTTCCCATGATTTTCAGACTAACCCAGACTCATCTGACTATCCCAATATATCAACTTATATAATATCCCTTTGGTATTCCCACCCACGGCTAAATTTAGACCACATGAATCATGTTGTTGGATATATGTCCCATGAATGTCCCCATTAAATACCCATTAGATCATGATTTAATCATTTAATCACCATTATTTCCAAACAGACCCAGATGAGCAGTGTTCAAAAACCTGTGTCGTCCGTTTATACTGGCTGGTTGATAGGGATTCCCCGTTCATGGATTGTGATAATCCTCAATATACTGGATAGTACAATCCAGGAACTAATCATCAACCAAGGTTTTGAACACTGCTCATGTGAAGTTCACATTTCTACCTTGGCTTAAAAAAAATCGGCCCTGTCATGTAAGCATGTAAGAATGATGTACCCTCTGGTAATTTGTTACATAGCTATTGAAAATGGCCCAGTCGAAATAGTTGGTTTTCCCATGAAAAATGCTGGATCTCTCCATCGTTTTTTGTATGTTTACCAGGCCGGGAAATTTCTAAGCATCAGAAGCATCCCATCCCCAATTCCACCTTATCATTGTAAGAATGATGTATGATTATACGCTCCACTTATCCTTGTAACTTCTGGTACCTTACAATTCCCAAACATCCGAGTGAATCCCATTCACAATCTCATTCAGCACCAAAAACAGCATGAAATCCCCATTGAATCATCATTAAATCACCATCACCATAAATTCACCATAAATTCACCATAAAAGTCTCATTTCAATACAATTTTTCTTGGTTCAATATCTATGGTCCAATAGGGATTTTTCATGGGGATTTCATGGTCCAATAGATATTGGTCCAATAGATTTTTCTATCCCCACAAAAATTTCGTCCACCATAAAATAGCACGACATCCCCATGAAAGTGTGAGGTTACCCACCTGCTTCAACTCTTCCGGATCCATTGGAGTGTCCTCAGGGGTCATGCCCCAGGACTTGCCTCGCCGATCGAATTTTTCGGCGAACAATCGGGTAAGAAAGGCATGCGCCGTGGATGGATGGATAATCCACAATATGTATATATGCATGTATATAGATATATGTCTATATATATACACATAGATATGTATATATATATATGTGTGTGTATAGATATAGGTAGATAGATAGATAGATAGATAGAGAGAGAGATACATATACCACTATATATATATATATACCAAGGGTAGATGTATAACAATCTCTAATTTCATCAACAGGGGTTTTGAACACGGGATCCTGCAGCTACACCATAGATGGACTCAACAGGAGTCCTTTCCAAATCGCAGAAAAGTCGTGAGCGTATCATCCGAACATCATCCCAACAAAACATCAGAACCAGGAAACGTGTTAAAGGAGTCCCGAAAACAGCCCCGGGACATGCTACATGTCCATAGATTTCCCGCGAAGATTGCCTGGTGAGGCACGTTTTGCCATCTGAAGCGCCAGGCGCGTGAAAAGAGATTTCACTACCGCTTGAGCCGGAGTTGGAGCCGGGGGGAGGTGATCAAAATCTGGAGAATCTGGACCATTCTTGTTATCAATCAGTGATCAATTATAGTGATAACTTATAGAATTACCATCTGGTTATTTAACATAGCCATGGAAAATGCCCATTTATAGATGGTTTACCTATTAAAAATGGTAATTTTCCATGGCTATGCAGAGGGTATAGTATATCATTATTATTGTGATCAATAACCAGGTATTTATCGATCACATCATGCACATCGTTATCAATGAATGATGGATATTTGGTTGGTGCCATTGGCATGCCGGCTTACTCCATGGAGGAAACAATGACAGGTCGTTGAACGCCATTACTATCTTCTCCATCTCGGTGTCCATAGATGATTTGCCTCGTAAAAATGGGGACGTTCATAGCAAACTGTTAAATTACCACAGGGTAGCCGCAAAGAAGTGGAAACTCGAATCAGACGCTTCTTGAACCCACCGTGGTGCCACGGTCAGTTTTTATACTTAATATGAATATTAGTACTTATGGGATCTTATGGTCATCCATACTTGGGCATTGTATGGTCCAATGGTCGTGTTTTCAATCCGAATGGATAGATGACAACCCTTAAAAGTGCCGCAAAAAAAAACCTCTCAGAGACCCTGACGTGCCATTGGCACCGTTGTGCGCCACTTCATCGTCCTCAAAATTGATGACATTTTGGGGATCGAATAGGAAGAATCTTCACATGACCAGCCATGGCCTCTGGCAATGAATGACACCCCTGGCGAACTGGACAATCACCATTTAGAAGGAAAAAACCAACCATGGAACTGATGGGCAATTTTCCATAGCTATGTTTAAACTGGACCTTTTTCCGAGGCTATAGTATAGACATGGAAAGGCTTGAGCCCATCCAAATATGTCCAATGTTTGACACAGAATTCAGAATGGCCGATTCTGGCAGCCCATCTAGAAAATATCTGGAAAATTATAGAAATGGGTGTGTCTGAAAATGTCGTGGACCCCTACACCCAATGGTTTTGCTGATCATTATCCCTATTAAATGGCTATAATTGGGAATATACCCTATTTTCAGACAAACCCAAATGCCTCTCCCTGCCTCCCCTTCCAGTGAGGGCTCTAAAGGGGATCCGATTATTTTTCCCATTTTTTCGCCCGAAAAAAAGTCCTCACAGATGGGCACGATCTTGGAAGGATCCGTGGTGGGGGGTTTGACTCCTGGCAGAATGCTGACAGCTGAGGAGATCGCAAAATCCTTCAGTCAACCAGATTCAATCAGATGTTTAATCCTTGGGGAATTCGATGTTTCAACTGCCGCAGGCAAAGGCGCACCTGAAGGATGTTTCTTTGGGTGATGCTTTCTCGTGAGGCGATACGTGGCTTTGCCTCGAACGGCGCAAGCCGATCTTCGGATGGCCATGGATGACCCATGGATGACCCATGGATAAATGGAAAAAGAATCTTCACATTACCATAGCTACCCTCTGGTAAACTAACATAGCTATTGAAAATGACCATTTATAGTGAGTTTTCCCATTAAAAATGGTGATTTTCCATAGTTATGTTAGTTTACCAGAGGGTAACTAGTGATATTATCAGGTGAATCAGAGGTAGTTGATGCCACCTGACATGCTGAACACCATTCTCATCTCGGCCGAGCAGGGCAGCCTGTCCAAAAACCGGTCCACTACTGGATAAAGATCTATGAGGTCTTACGAATTCGGGGCTTGGATAGCCACGATCTGATCATAGGAATAATTGACTAACCATTCTGAACCATTATCAACCATTATTAACCATCATTAATCGCTATTAACCATTATTAACCATTATTAACTACTACTAACCATCATGAATCGTCATTATCTTCTCACACGTCGGACTTCCTACTACTTCATAGCTCTCTCAGATCTGCCAGCAATGACTTCAGCTAGTCATGGCTGTGTCTGAAACGAGGCTTACCCCGTTTCAGACCTCATGGCAAGAACTTGGGGCATACCTCCATGTTCACCACACCCAGGTATCTATTGGTTGTTAATCTCCCATTGTATTCCATATCCCATGAAAATATACCATAAAAATATCCTAAATATGACCCCACAAGGCTTAGTGCCCAACCATTCATTTTGTTGGGCTCCCGAACTTGCAGGTTCTGCACACTCGATCTCCATGATCTGCGCCCTCGGAAGTTCTCGGCATCCATGGCTGGTGAATAATGGTGTTCAATGGCTATCAATGGTTAATAATAATGGTTAATAATGATTCATGAACGTAAAATATTGGTTAATAATGGTTGATAATGGTTGATGATGGTTAGTTGTGATTCATGGTGAGTAATGATGGTGAATAATGATTAGGACTGTATCCGTGATTCATCATTCTTGACCCTTAGCCTTATTCATCAACATGAATCAACATGAATCAACCTTTCCCAAGGAAGAACATATCCCTTGCATCCGTCCTATCCTGTGCGTAGCTGTGGTTGGGCAAAGTCTCTGCTCCAAACCCCCGGTAGCTTCGGGGCTCCAAACACTTGCTCTCTTGAGATGTTCTGACCTCTGCGAGCCGAGGTCTAGAGAAAGGTGGGATTCTCTATTGGTTGGGAGATGAAAATGGGATAACAATGGGAAATGGTGATTTAAAAAAGAAAAACTTGGGATTTACGGGAATATGAGTGGGATTATTGGTGGGATGTGAATGGGATATGAAATGTGGGATACAGGTTTCGCTCATGCACACACCCTGCGAGTGGATTGTTTTAAGGCAAAATCTACATGAAGCTATTGTTAAGTTCTAGGAGGTTCCGGTACACAATAATTCTTGAAACCAATTCTGGGAGAACTGCGAATGGACTTTACGCCCATATCATGTAAGTCATATAAGTATCAATTAAAGGGTATCAGAGAGATATGACAGTTGTTGGATGAATTCTGCCTTAAACTCCAATGGACTCTCCTTCTGATTCAGAAAAAGCAAAAATATTAGACCCCAAAAAAAGATAGAAAAATGATTCATCCATATTCATCCCTATGGACTTCTATAGTTGGGAATGGCCATTTATAGTTGATTTACCAATTAACTACTTGGATGATTTTGGTTGGATGATGTTACCAACTTCTAACTTTTTTTGACTTGCGAACTACCAAGATTCTGGTGGAATTTCATTGAAATTAAGGTTGTGAATATAAAAAGCGGGGCTAGGATGGGAGCCGATCGCACAATTACCATCCTGTTTCTTTGATACTCCAAACCCATCCAAACCCTTGTCAAATCACTTTGCCACAGACATCGATCTTCACTAGGTCTCCATGCCGTGCCTTTTGCGGATGTCAGCTTCCAAATCTTTGAGTTCCTACGCAGCTGAATTCATGTACATTTCGTTCAGCTGAACAGCGCCATTGTGATCACCCTCTGTAGAAATAGGAATCACATATGATAAATCAACTAGGAATATGATGAAAAATAGTGATGTGTCTAAAAATTCGAAAATGATGAAAATGATGATACACACCATCAAATGTTAGGAGGCTTCGCAACATGTTCAGGTACTACGTCCCGAAGGAGCAGATTGAAAAAATGGAACCCTATCATTTATAGTTAAGTTAAGTGACCATTTTTCTTGGTTGATGTCCTATTTTCATTGCATTCAATGAACTTAAATTAGCATGTGTTTGATAGTTATTGATCAAAAAAGAGACTGTAGAAATGTGGACGACAGCAGTACCCTTGCGTCTGAAAATGAGATATATCCTGAATATATTCCCATGTCTAGCCATTTTAACAGTGACAATGATGATCAGAGAATTTTTGGGTACTATATTTCCAGACTCTTGGCCACAATCTCTGAAGCTCCTCTGCAGTCATGTCCGCTGTGATGACAGCTCCACGGCCCATCTTCACCCTGCACGGCTACATAGATCCGTAAGATAAGATAGGATAGGATGAGATGAGATGAGATAACATCATATAATCATATAAGATAAAATAAAGATAAGCCTATACGATAAGAAGCAGATCAAGGTTTGTCTTCAGAGTCCTTTCTCTTTAGCGTTTTCCTTGTCCTCGCTTGCTTTCAAAACGAGACCACTGGAAGGTCTGTTTGTGTGTGTATCACGTTTCTTTCCAGCCCGCCACTAGAAGAATGGTGGTCAAGATAATGTGGGTAAAACTATGTCATAAACCACCCATGACTGGGAATGGTAACCATACCACCTATATATTTATGGTGTTGACTGGGGGATGGCTTATTTATGGCATTGTTTTACCTACCCTGTATGATTATGGGATACTTACTGGATAATCCATATGATATCCATGATTGTTAATAATCAATATTCTATTAATATATGAATAATATTAATATTCTATTAATATATTTAGGAATATTCTATTAATATATATATAGTAATATAGTGTATATATATATAGCAATATAGTATATATATATATAGAAATATAATAGAATATATATATAGTAATGTATATATATAATATTTCATGATATTCCCAAACACAGGACCTATCCAGCGCCCTCTGGGCATCTGGGGAATCGACGGTTCACTGGAGCCAATCCATCCAATGTCTGCGGCATAGGCAATGAAGACCTGGCCCATCCAGCGGTTTTTTCAGCAAAGTGACGCGAGATTTTCTGGCCATCCAGGATTGGTTTTCACGGGAAAATTGAAACCGGAAACCATCGATTTTCCCATGAAGATCATGGGGCTTTCCTGCAAATTTTCCCTTAAACCAATCCATTGATCTGGCCATTTGATGAAACTTGATGGATATATGACATCAAATATGACTCATATGACTAGAAAATGACCATTGATATAGTTATATCAATGATTCAATGGCCATTCCAAGTGACATCATAATCATGATATGACTTGGAAATATCCAGCTATCTGGGATGACGATGGGATCGCAATGGAATGATATGGGATGATACTTGATGGACGTCAATGAATGAAGTGTTTGGGGCTGCGTTTAGGATCATGTTTGGGCTGATTTTTACGTTTAGAATTTAGCATACCATGGTGATTCTCACTCCAATCACTTGGGAATCAGTTGGGATATGGGCCCCCAAAAAAAGAAATGGTGGCCATACGGAGGTTTCCAATCCAAGGGTTTTTCCCCCAAATCAAATCACCCACAATGAGATCATTAAAAAGATTTAAAAAGTGCCTATGTTTACAACTGGGGATCCCCATGACTTAAGAAATCCAGGGTCGTGGTGCAGGGTCAACTGGGTCTTGGCTTCCAACCAAGACCGGGAAGAAGACGAAGGTGATCACCTTGTCGGTCTGCTGGGAAAACCCACGGCTTTTTCCCGGGTGATCGGACCATGTTCGGATCATGTGAAAACCATTCAGATTGCCCTAAATCTACTGGTTATGGCTAACATAGCCATGGGATAGATGGCCCATAGAAATAGATGGTTTACCTATTAATAGCATGGTGATTTTCCATGGCGAACTGTTAGTCATAACCAGATGGTAAATCTACTGGTCTGTCCGAGTCTGTCCCCCCAATTTTCCCCAATTTTCCCCTTCCCATCATGGGATGAATGGATATTTCAATGGGAGGAATGGGACAATGGGCTCGTGCTCGCCGCTCGCTCTGAGCAACTTGGCCGCTTCCCAGATCTCTACCACGTTGGGGGAGATCCAGTCCAGGATCACGATTAGCCACACGTACGCCATGATGGAGAAGATGGCAGTCACCTTGCCACACGGCTTTCGACTACCGTGAAAAAAAAGGGTGATGGAAAACGGCTTTTCAGGCCTAATGTCAGTAAAGCTTTTAACCGGATCCACCACCATATTTGACCATCCAACAGCTGTCAAATATAAATTCTTTTCACCATATTTTTATGGCTGGGATTAGTAAACCACCAATCCCAGCCATGGCGGTTGATCTCAGGCCCCGGACTATGTAGACATTTGTTTCCTGGAACCCGGGACCAGGAGAACCCGAAACCCGAAACACAAAAAACTACCGAGGTATCTCCGCCTTTCGTCCCAGTCACATGATAGTCATATTAGTGTGGTTTTTCTTATTTGTTTATCCTCTATCCAACCATGATTTTTGGATATTTTTGGGCGTTTAACATTGGGAAGGGATTCGTAGATTCGCGTATATATCGTATATAGATCGACTGACAAAGGAATGATGTCGCAGCTTGGGATCGTCGGAAAAATCGAGCCCGCCACACCCAAAATATCGATGGTTATAGATATCCAATCCTATGAATATTATATCCCTAATGAATCGTTATATGTCCCGATGTCCATGTTCAGACAAATCCAAATATCATATTTTTGGCAAAAAAATTGTGTATCCCATGAAAATCATAGTTCTATCCCCATGTTCAAACAAATCCCATTCACAGCAGACAAATCCCATTCTTATATCCCATTAATCATTAATCCCTATCCCCAATTATATCCCAGTCATATCACAGTTATATCACTAATAACATTCCAGGACCCCAAGGCTGCTTCATTGGGGGGGTACCAATTAAGTATCACATTATCCAACCATGGTTTATTACTCCGGGTTTTACATTAATATATCACTAATCATGGTTATATCCCAACGTTATATCCCTAATATATCAGTATATCCCATCAATATCCCATATTATATCTCATGTTATATCCCAGGGATGGATAATATCCCGTTATTATCCATTATATCACATCAATATCCCATATGATAACATAGTGGTATCCCATCAATATATCGAACTGATTATATATCCATGTATATATATATATATATGTTGTAATAAAAACAACAACAATAATAATAACAATAATAATATATATATATATATTAATATATATTATTATATATTATATTATATTATATATATATATGTGTGAGATTCCATATCAATCCCACAATAATATATCAATATCCCAGTTGTCCAAAAAACGTTGCCAGCGCTCCTTGATATATCGAACTTGACCAGTGGGGATGGCCATCACACAGACCTGGCAGAGGTACCCAAAACGCCATCAGGAAACCTCGAAAGGCTGGTGAAATGATGTGAAAAATGTGATGAATTCCAGATTGGCATTGATGTGGCATATTATAATTGATATGATATGAAATTATGATATTATAATATTTTTTTAATTGACATTGGAATTATTATATGAAAAATTGTATTATATGATTGGAATTCCAATGTCATAAAAATCATCATTATATTATATCATAAATTCATCATTTCTTGCGTTTTTGAGAGGCCGCAATGGCAGGGATATACCCAATGTTCAGGCACCACCGGGCACCACCCCCATCTTCTGATTTGTAGTTGTCCAACAACAGCAGCTTCTGAACATAGAAAGTCTCTGATTCTACGAAACTCCACTGCACCATTTGCAGCGCACAACGGAACCGCGGACAGCTATCACAGCTATAGCCGCATAGCTGGATCATTTTGTGCCATCTCCTCCATGGTTGTGAAAATCAGCTGGCGAGACTGCGCTAATGATGAACAGATTGAAAGCTGCGCTTCCAACAATAGTCGACCTGGGTAGCATTTCAATGCAAGCGTCGTTTTTTTAGGGCTTGATTTGAAGTGCTAGCAGCTGGAAATGGCGTTGAACATCGAATTCATATTTTTTCCATTCAAATCCCTCCAATCCCAATCCATCAATCATCCGACAAAATCATATGTTCTCCAATTCATCTGAGGAATCCACGGGCCCAACTCACCGGCAAAAACCTGAATCGATGGGGGAGATTCATGGGAGATTCAGTTCTCTTGAAAAACTTTTAAAGATGACTAAGAAAAATGATGGAACTATCATACAATGGTATATCATATTACTGGGATTATAACTGGGATTATATTGCTGTTTGAAATATAATATGTATCTATATAGATGGTTAGGAAAAATGATGGAACACTGACATAGTTCATGGGAAAGCAGAAATGCTTCAAGTCCGCGAATAGTGCCCTCAACTTTGGGAGAAAAGCCATCGACGCAACTTCCAGGGACGCATCGAATAATTACTAAGATGAATCGATCCTTTATCCTTAGATTTTCCATATGTTTTCCTTAGAATCCTCCCATAATCAACTTGAGATCTCCGGTTCTCAGGATCTGCCAACGCTGCCTGATTGCCCAAAAGCTCGATGATGGAAAGAAGGATCTCCGGAGCGCTTGATCCTGGCTTCGGGCATCTTTCCTGGAACTTGGCACCAAAATATCTTAACTGGTTGGTGGTTTAAACCCTCTGAAAAATCTGAACGTCAGTTGAGATTTGAGATGATTCCGAATACCATCTGGTTATGACTAACATAGCCATGGTATAGATGGCCCATTTATAGATGATTTTCCCAGCTAGAAACCTCCATTTATAAGGGATTTTCCATGGCTATGTTAAATAACCAGATGGTATATGGAAAAATAATCAAAATGTTCCAAACCACCAACCAGTTACCCTCTGGTGAACTAACATAGCAATGGAAAATCACCATTTTTAATGGGAAATTCCACTATAAATAGCCATTTTCCATTGCTATGTTAGTTCACCAGAGGGCAAAGGATGTGTCCAAACTTTCCGAACCTCTCATTTTCCACAGCGACGTGAAAACATCATAAAACATCGTGCCAGGTTGTGACCCGTCGCCTAAGGCCATCAGCGTCAGGTTCGCGACGGTTGGGTTCCAAACCTAAGATGTCCCAAGTTTCTCGCGATGGGTTTTTTGGGTCGATCTGGATGATTTTCGATTTGTCTGGCCACTTTAAGATGGAAAATGATGAACCGCGAAACTATCGAACGAGGGTAGCCTGCTTTCAGTGATTTCACTTGTCCCTGCGATTCGGAGTGGACGATGTGACCAACCAGGGCGCCCCCAAGGCCCAAGCTCTAACGGTTACAAATTTCCGGGTTGCTGTATTGAACCTCAGTCGCTGCGATCAACCACATGTTGCCTGTCTCCAAGACCCTCTGTTCAAAAGTTTGACAAGCTGGCACGCATTAAGCCCGTCGCAGACCACAAATTTCGAAAAGAAAACGTATACTTTCAATCAACCCCAAAGGATACAGTACTAAGCTGTACTAAGCACATCCAGGAATTTGAGACTTTGCAGCAATCCAATGTTTCTTTTCGACCTGTCACGGCCACTCTTTTTCGAGGCATCGATCATCAATCCGCAGCTTTCGGCTCCAGTCCTGTTGCGTCTCATCCGCGTCGTTGCATCATAGCATGTTTGGGGACCGTGGCTCCATGTCCAGCGGCCAACTTCAACAACAAGGCCCACATTTGTAAAGGCACCATGAGCTTCTGCGAAATCACAAATCGCAGCATTTTCAACTTGGCCGAGGCCTTATCACCTGGTTTTTCACCATCTAAATCCTGCAAGTTTTCCCAGTCAAAATCTCGGACTGAAATAAGATGCACAAAATGTCTCCATGCTTTTCGTAGCTCAGAGAGAGCCGCCTCTCCCAGTTGCCATTGCTGAAAATCTTTTCCGGTGCATTCTCTGGTGATCACGCTGCATAGTTGAAGCAATGAGTCAATGTAGCCATCGCAATCTGCAGGATCAATGCTTTGTAAATGACATTTGTCGAGTTCCGAAGAAAATCGTTTCTGGTTCTTCTCACTGAGTCGCTCATAGTCAGCACCATGACATAGTCCGCTAAATACGGGCTCTAGCAAGCTGTAGGTGTAGTCCTCATCGAAACTGAACACTGAAATCCCAAGCTCGAAAGTCTCGAGGGGAGCCATGGTAAGTCTCCGGAACTCTGAACACAGTCTGAGCCACAAGAAGACATAACAAGACAATCAGAGGCGACTTGCTGGATGATCAAAGTATATCAAAGTCACTGTGATCTTTTCATCATTTTTTTTTAACTTCTTCAGGCACATGTCAATGTCAAAAACCCAGGATTCGGCACTTCATTCTGCGACTGCCGGGTTTGAGGCACCAACTTCCGCTTCCGCTTGGATGTTACTCGCTCGATGGCCTTTCAAGAAATTCATCCTGACATGAAACATGACTTAACATGACTTGACCAACTGGACAAGTTGACTTTCGTACACTTTCGTACGCATTTGTTCAGACTTGACAGTTGACTTTGGTCGAGTTGACTTTTGCTTCTCAAATGTTCGAGAATCCCCATTATTCAACATTGGCCGGTGATAATTAAAGACTTCTTCACTACAGAAATTCGTGTCGCTTAGTACTGCAACGGCCAGTGTCCGCCAATCGTTCGCCTCCATGAAGATGTCGGACACGATGGCAACACCGAGAAAACACCTGGGATCCCGGGACGGTGTTGGTCTTTTCACGTCACGAGATCACATTTTATACAAAAAAAAAGTTGAAATCATGGTTTGTTTATGGTTTGTTTATGGTTTGTTTATGGTTTGTTTGGTACCTGAAAAGGTTGGGATTCACAAACCATTCACAAACTCACAAACCATGGACCATCGACTCAGAATCGGTTGTGTTCATCCCTCAGGCACGGCTGAGTTCTGGGCCAAACGAGGAAAAGGAAGTACACAAAGGTCCGGAGTTCCCTGAAACGACAGGTGGTCACATGAAACCATGACCCATGACCACCATGACCGGGGATCATTGTACATCCTAAATAGCGGTCCCGGTAAACCCAAAAACCATCCAAAACCTCTATTGGGGATGGCTTCTTCTTGGCTTTACAGTGGGTTTACCACAGTAAAAGGGGATTAGAGAGGTCTCCATTTGTCTCTATGTTTTCACCACCCTTTCCTGTCAGCATCCACCATCCACTGCTTAAGGTTGCGGCCGGGGCCATAAGTGCTCATTAGGCACCTCGTTTCAGCAAGGAACTCAACCCGTCCCGTTCCCGGTGTCGAACAAACTGGTTTTTTGCTTCGCTGAGTGCACGGCTAAAGGAAAGATGAGGCCTTGGGAAGAGGAGTTTTTCACACCCTGAAACAAAGTGATCTCCGGTCCAATTTTGGACCATCGGAGCTCCCCCAAAACCCAAGACTCCAACCTTTGCCACCTTCTTCGCAAATTTCCGCAGAGTCCTGGCACAAAAATAATCCCGCAGAGTCAGTTGCTTCGAAATTTCAGATGTCTGAAAATAGTCCACTCGGGTTTGTCTGAAAATAGGAAATACCATTTTTTGTAATGGATTATCATGGATTATCATGGATTTTCCCATTTCAAACATGGGGTATCCCCTATTCTTCGACCATCCCGCTGAGTTCACAGTCGTTGCATCCAAGGTGCTTCTTCTGTGCCATTCACAACATCTGAAGACATCGAGATGACCAAACAGGGTGCACCATCAATGCCTCGGTTTGATCAGTTGCCAAACTCGAAATTGAATGGTGAAGGACATCTACCATCATCCATCATCTACCGTTGCTGCATGCCGATGCAAAACATTTTGTACGAATGAAATTTGACCAAATTTGGGGAATTCTGCATTCTAGTTGCTGCAGGAATTCCAAACCATCAGAAATTTAAGTTCTATCAAAGGTTTTAACAAAATGACGCTATGCCCAAAAAAGTCCCTGCCAAATCACCACCCTAACAACGGTTTGAAAATAAATACCCCTAAACCGAAACCCAGTTAATCATTATCCCAATTCAATCAATTCGACTATGGTCAGTTTTGGGGGGTCTCTCCCCTCAGCTAAACCCATACCATCAATCTCCATCACCGTTGAGGTCAAGGCCGTGGAAGGAAACCTTCAGCTAAGGTTCGGCCGGTTCGTTGTTCGGGCCGCAACGGCAGATTCGCACCGGTCACCAATGTCTCAACAAAGAAATTGGAAACAGAAAAGACACGATTCGTCAATGGATGTTCTAATTCGTTATTTAATTTACCCTCTGGTAATTTAACATAGCTATTGAAAATCACCATTTATAGTGAACTTTCCCATGAAAAATGGTGATTTTCCATGGCTATGTTAAATAACCAGATGGTACCTCATTTATGAATCGAACCAATTTGTCTCATGTATTGTGAGAATATGGTGAAATCCATTGGACACATCGAACATGTTGGTGTTTCCGACCAAAAACCACTAATGTCATACAATGCCCACAAGAATAAATGTTTAAAGAGTGAAGGCAACAAAGCAAACCATTTTCGAACGCATTACTTTCCATTTGCCCATTTTATAATGCAGCAACAAAAAATAGACAAGTAAGCCACATCTTATGACCAATCAAGTCGGAACGATAAGAAAAAACAAAACCCATTTGACCTGTTTGACGCGAATTTGGATATGTGCAAAGCCAAGAGGGTTTGGGGGTACCATTGACTTGAAAGGATGAAAATGTGTCCTGTTAATGTGCCGCAACAGAAACCCAACACTTACCCCCGAAAAAGAAACATACCCGGGGCCATCACGCAAAACGTGTTTTTGGTGCAACAAGCACGCATGCCTACATGCCCAATGACGTTCAAAACCTGTCAAATAAAAACAAGGTGAACCAACACAAACATAACAACAAACACTTGACGAATTTCACAAATGCAAAACCAAACACTTGCGTGGCCAACCATTTGTGTATGGCGACAAACATCTGAATTCATAGTCCTGGTTGGTTTCCACTGGTGAAGAATGCATCGATTTGTTGTTGGTGGTGGTGGTGGTTGTTGTTGTCGTTGTGTGAGTGTTCATCTCCCAACACAACTATACGCAACAACCAAGAACTGAAAAACAAGTCGCCTGTACTCAAAACATCAATGTGAACTTACATTGCAAAAAAAAAATACAAAAATAATTAACAGTATCTCAGAATGCAAAGTTGGGCATAGCATCAGTTCGCCTGGGTTATGAAAAAAATGGTGAACAAAAAATTGCAGGTGAAATCATCCTCAAGCAAGTCCAGTGGAATTCTACGATACGTACATTGACTACACTATATCGTCTGTTATTTTTGCATGTGCCATGTCACCCATATCAAACAATAAACACGGAAACGGTAAACGCTGGCAAGGCAATGCATAATTATGATGTTTTGTTTCGAAACTGTAAATGTGTCAAATGGTGAGGAAAAAATTGATGCCCCGCGTGGTTGGGTTGCGCCTCTTCCGCATTCCAACCGTTCTCCGTATGCAATGAATATGGATTTTTTTTGTCAATACGCCGCTCACAACGAACGAATTTCCAAGGCACTCATTTTTTTCACCCAGGGATTTCAACGACCATTCACCGATTTTGGCTGTGGATTCGGCAGCAAGAAGAAGTCCGTCAGGTGGCTGTTGGGGATGGAAGTGTGAACCCTCCCTCCCTCCTTCCTCTTCAGTCAAAAACCACGTTCGTTTGAAGATGCCATCCATTTCACTGTTATAAAATGTTTTGTCACATCACCATTTATTTCAATACACCGCTCACAACATATGCACTTTTTGCAAAGCACTCACCTTTTGTTACGTGGGGATTTCAATGGAGCATTCCAACATTTTCCCCACTTTCTTGTCCATGAATGTGACAAGTTGAGACACTATTGTTTTTGCATCTTTGGACTTGTCTACAAATCCAGCCGAAATCAATTCACGCACCAAAACCCTAGAAGGTTTGTCAACAATATTGCAATGCGAAGGGGTTCTGGCAAGCGAATTGTGTATCTTCATTGCCCACATATAGGCAATTGTTTCTCATTTCTGGAGTGTTCATTGAAACTAAGCACGCAACCACCGCACAAAAGGTTTCAGCCTCAAAAATTATATGTGTTTTTGCGAAAGAACTCGGAGCACTCGCGCACTTTTCTAAGCCAAAATGGGCCTCAGGTGAAATCCTTGTGCATGTGATTCATGCCAAGTAAATGCAACTGCAATGCACTAAATCTTCTCGATTTGTGCGTGTCATCCAGAGTACGGGTAGGCTGCACAATGTTTTGCACTCCTCCTCTGGGCTGCAAGCAAGGCTGTCTGTTCAGCCAACATTGTATTTTGCGAACTTCTCTGGAACCGAAAGCGCCTCAGAGTACAACCTGAAATGCACTACTCGATTTGTGCAATGTCATCTGCACAGCTACACAACTGATGTGTACATGTACATGAAACCAAATGCGGAAGTATCTTTCACCCCGCCCTGGAACCTAAATGTTTTAGAATTTCACTATGGCTCTAGCTCCGCAGGTCAGTTGTGTGACCATCAGTTCTCCATTTTTGGAGTTTTTCTAAGGGTGAAGACTGTATCGCTTCAAACTATTGGCACTGGAGCCGCATGATGGGTCTCATCCCCACCAAGCGACACTCTTCTGTGGTGCTTCCTTGCTGCCTCTCAGAATTCCTGAAGTCCCGTGCCATCATCGGGTTCTGTTTCTTCCTCATGACTCCTTGGGCCATAGTGAACATCAGCCCAAAAGCCTCTGATTGTCCACAGCTCATGTAGCGCTGTGCCCTCTGTTCTGGCGTTTCCTCTGACATGCTCTCGTCTGAGACGGAGCTCTCTGGCTTCACTTCTCGAAGCGCTCCACCAAGTTGCCCAATCAGTTTTGTCACCTCCTCGAACTTGTCAAATTCGAGAAGGCTCATCATGGCTCTGGAAGCCTTGTCAGATTCTGCCAGCTGAAGATGTTTCTCATCTTCTCCAAGGCCATGATGTGGGGACTCGTCGTCTCAGCCATGCGCAGCCGTTCCTGAGGGCTGCAGCTAGTGTAGTGAGCCACACAGCTCAACAACCACGTCCGGTTTTGCATATGCTTCATGCATTGCCCGTTGTTGCCTCTTCGCTGTGCAAGCTCCAAGCGTCCATTGATCCTCCTCAGGGCAACCAATAGTCAATAGTCTCCCTTCGATCTGTGGATCTTCATTGACCTCAGGTTCAGGTGCTGTTGGATGGGTCACCAAGGTAGTTGGTGGAAAGATCACTGGCCTTATCGGTTGCCTGAGCCAGCACCATGTGTACCCACCAAGCGCCATAGTCCACGCAGTCAAAACCAGAGTTGTAAACGGGATCATCTTGATGTCAGAGGTTTCCAAGTCGCCAATGTCGCATCCACATAGGCTCATACCAGCCACTCCATGCACGAACGCTGTGGCAATCCCAGTAGGCACTCCAGAGTTCAACGCTGTAGCATGACCACCAGTGTTGATCGTGGGCGAATCCTCATCACTTGACAAGTCCGTGATGTCTTCAAGAACCTGCTGAATATGGCCCCTGGTTTCCGTGGTGGCTACTTCTAAAGCAGCCAGCATATCACTCAGCATACCTTGCCGGGCCAGATACTGGTTTGTTTTGTAGGGATCCTGCCTTGTAACGGCTTTCTGCAACCTCCTCTCACATCGGTCGTATAACCAATGGATCATGCCCTCTTCAGACCATGCAGGGCAGTCTGAGACGGAGGCATCCACATCTGAGCTGTTGTCGATCGGGTCCTATCCAGCGCCATTGCTCGAAGCTGTGGCATCGGTCACAAATCAAAACTTTTCAAGGGTTCCCCAGGGCGAATGGCCAGGTAGATGTAGCCAATCAAACCCAGCTGCCTGAAGATGTTTCCTGGGTCATGTGCTCCCTCCAGATTGTCCTCTCCAGATACCCAAAAAGTAACACAACGACTCGAGCCTTGCTGCGCTGAGTCTCTTTGTGGCAATGTCTGCAGGGTTGAGTGCTCCCATCACTGATCTCACCAGCAAACGTTTTTCCATGACTAAGTCCTGCATCCACAAGATCCTGCATGACAAATGCCTCAAACGACCTACGCCTTTGCGAGAAAGAACACCTCTTGCTGCTGATGAATCCAGATACAGACACATCATGAAATGACATCGGAGAAGCCATGAAAAGATGGGTGATCAAGATCGCATCCATGGTGGCCGACGCAGCTGCATATGTTTCTGACTCTGCGCTCGAAAGTGACACGATCTTCTGTGTCCTGGAGCTTGAATAAGCGAGACAGCCACCAACGTAAATTGCAGTTCCCGAGACAGAGCGTCTCGTCTCTCTGTCAGCCGCCCAGTCAGCATCGCTGAAAATTTCCACCATCGGCTCCTCGTTCTCATACTGTTTGAAAACACCAGCATGCAAACCTTTCCATTTCAAAGATATGCACTGTTCGGGGTGTGCTGCCATGTAGCCAACCAGGTGTTTCAGCGCCATAAGGGATTTCTCAGTTGGCTTTGAAGAGAAAGTGGATAAGTATCGAATCACATGATGGCACTGTGGCAGGTCAGCTGACAAGTACAGAAGAATCCCCACGCAAGTGCGGTACATCGAAGCATCATGGGAATTGAGCTCTGGAGACTTGTCTGGAATCTCCATCTCGCTGTGACCTGGGGTCTTCTTGCTCTGAAGCCTTTTGGAAAGGCACAAGAGTTTGCACAGCTGATCGAGGTGCTTGTGATGCACTCGAATAACCATCCTGCCATCTTCCAGCAATTCATGGGGGCGCTTAAGAAAGGAAACTTCATCTCCGGGCTTCGACATGAGTTCAATGGAGATTGCATACTTCAACTGAAGTGAAGGCACAAGCTGTTTCATCACGGCATCTCGGCTGCCGACGATGAGACGGTCATCAACATGGACCATCAAGAAGCAATCACCATTCTTGCTTCTCAAAATGCTTGGGTAAGCATCCAGCTCTGTCATTTCCAGCGAACACTCCGACGAACTTTGCCAAGTCCCTGTGCCAAAGCAAACTCCCATCTCTCTGCCCGGGCAAGACACTGCCCAAGCTGTATTGCATAGAGTTTCCATTGGCATCTGTGCATGTCACTCGAGTGTCCACCTCTTGTTTCACTGTGAGAAAGGCGTCTTTGACGTCAATTGATGCCACAATGCTCATGCCATAATGAGAAAGACGTCCTGATGTTCTCTCATGGCCAAAAAGCAAATTGGAAGGATTCCGCTTGTTCCCTGTCCGGCTGCAGCCAAGTATACCTCACCCGAATCATGTTTTTTCTCTCTCCAAAGTTTTGCAGTCCACTGGCAAGTTGTCATCTTTCAAGGCTTCGAGTCCAACTAAACGCTAAACTTCAACTTGGTCTGCAGTGCGTGAAGCTTTTGAAGATCCTCCTGCGGAAGTTCTGGCTCCTGTGGGGCGTATGGAAAGCTGAGCTCTTTAAGACATACACTAACGTGAATCTCGACCTCATAGGGGTCTTCATCCAAGCTCACAGTTCATGCTCCACATCATCAGAGTGAAGAGAGACATCGGACTCGATGTCCAGATGCTCAATGTTGCAAATGGCACCTATGAGATTAACACCACCCGCTCTCATGCTTGCTGGCTTTTACTAGGCTCATGATGTCTTCATGCAAACATTTGGCCTCTGAGGAAACATTTGGCCTCTGTGCCAACATCATCATGTTCGATTGCATGCTTTGAAGGTCCACTAAACGAACCTTCAGCTCGAGGAACTCCAGAGTCTGACCTTGCCGTTGATGATGGGCCACCACTTTCAATCCCTTCACTCGCCCACTTTCAATCCTTCACTCGTAGGAGTTCGCATTTCCAGACTCAGCCGAAGCTTGAATCCCCGCCTCAGCCGAGATGCACCACAGTCAGCATCTTCATATGGATGTACATGAGAATAGTCTCTGACAGCCTGCTTCCTTGTCGCCAAGCTGCAAGTTGGCAAAGTTTATGTTGGAGTTGATGGGAATGTAGATAGCAGTTGTTTTCTCTCGGTAAGGTCCAGTGACTTCACATCTGCCTTTGATCCATGGTGCTGAATACTGCCAGTACTCAGGAGGATTGGTTCCTGATAGCATACGGTTGTCCACGAAGACATGGACAGTTTCATATTCCGATAACCATGAGAGGTTATCCACAATCTACTGAAAGAGCGTCCTGTGATGGACCTGGCTGACTGCGGGTCGGCGGATTCCATTCTCGTCGCCCACCATCACTGTCGGGCATGTCAGGGGTGAGCGGGGCATTCGACGAGAGCCTACGTCTGCCCACTTCCAATTCTGCTTGGTGTCATCCATACCAAGCGGAGTTTCAATCTCTTTTTCCGATAGGAAGAGTGCGTCCAGTTGGTCGGAGTGTCATCATCAGCCTCCCGAGCATCGAAGTAGACCGAGTGGTCACTGTCAGCTGACGCATCCTCACGGGGTTTTTCTGTGACGCATGGCTCTGTCGGCTCCATGTCTGTATCCGAGTCGTCAGGGTCATCAGGCGCCAAGGAAATGAACCGATTTTCAGTCATGAGCTGTTGTATCATCCTGGCGTGGGCGTAACCCTGAACAACCGGTGCCCGGTGTCAGGCTTCTGTTGTGCGACGAGTGCTGTGAGAGGCTATCAAGAGCCGCAAAAGCTGCAGTGAGAACAAAGTTACACAATGACGGATGTTGGGTGCATTCCGCACTTACATTTTTTTTTTCCTCGAGTGTGGCCGATGTCGCACTGTGGCTCGGTCCTGACATGAGCATAAGCAGTGAAAAATCATTTTGTACAAGGACTAAAGAGGTCCAGAAATGAGGGCAAATCACACCAAACAAACAAAACAAAAAACACGGGTGCATTCCGCACTTACAATGCAATCAGCACAGACGAAAGCAGGATTCGAATGACATGAAAGCCGGCAATTAGGCTTGATATTGATACGTGACATTTGGCCGAATCTAGTTGACCACGGTCTAGTTGTTGTGCCAGCTCGACACTGACCCACGGCTGGAGGTGTTGCAGTTGTCTGCCAGAGTGATAAGCGTCAAGCTGGGGCAACACCATGTCCAAGAGAAAGATGAGCGTGCGTGGAAGAACCGTAGAACTCAGTCAGCAGAGCGCGGATTGTACTTCCTCCTTCCACGTTCCCCATGCCCGGTGTAGGCACCATGTCGATCAATACTTGCTGCAATTCGCAACCTGGTCGTCTCTGATGTCTCTTCCCTCAATTGGGACCATGTGTAAGCTGCTGCACCCTTCCCCAGCAGCCTGTACCAGCATGCTGAGCGTGCGCTTGAAGTGGTCAGGGAGGTCAAAACTTACCCATGACAGGACCCGCACATCGCATACCGTGCGGGATCACCTCAGGGTTGGTGATTTGCAGCTGTTCGATCTGATAGGTGCCTTCCTCAATGTCCGTGAATAGGAGATGTCCATATGAATGTCTCGCTCGGCCGCTCCAAACTGCGTGTGCTTCTATCATCGGGCAGAAGGTGGGGGAAACGCTCTCAACTCTTACCTCGGGGGTGACAACACCTAATAATCTGCCGGACAGCTGTTGCCCACGGATCTTCATTTGCGCATGATTCTGAAAAAAGAGGTCATGGACTGAGGAGCCCTCCACTAAGTCGGCTACAATGTAACATCAGAGGTCGGTCTTGCATGGGGGAATCGTCTTCCCAAAGCTCCTCCAATGAAAACCCATTGTGCCCACTTGCGCGGGCGATCAAGCATCGCTTGCGATTCACTGGATGCCATGCCTGTATACATCTGTTGGGCACAGTGGACAATATCAAAGGTATGGCCCTTGACTTCCGTGTGCCATGTGCCTACTACTGCAAACGTGTTTGGGAGACCAAAGTCCAGCTGCACTGCCTGGAGAAGGGCCCGACACTGGAGTCCTCGGTCCGCTTTTCGCTCCCATAATCCCAATGCTACTAATTGTCGGTCGGTGAGCGGGGAGGGCGGTACTTTGGCATGAACTCGTAGTCCAATGACTGGGAGGAAGTTGTGGTGCAACCATTGCGGCAGCCACTTCACCGTGCCAAGAGAGCGGCGGCCGCCAGCGGCATCCACCCAAAATGCGCCAGCTCCGTGAGCCGCCCGGGTAACCGTTTCTTGGCATTGGTACCGAAACCATGTAGGATGGCAGGACGCATAAACTCCGGCTCGATTTCCATGGCCTGGTACATTTTATCACCAGGGAGTACTCGTATGGTAACTTCGCCTGGGAGGAGGCCCCCTGATAGAAAACTACGTAGGAAAGCACCAGATACTGACCGGGTTGCTTTTCAGGCCAAATGCAATGAGCTACGGCTCCTTGCCGCAGAGGCAGAAAGGGCTAACCCTGTCTCCTTTGCGATTGGGAACAGCTGGAATGACACTCTCCGAACAGACAAACAACACTACCTTGAATATACTACTGCGAAAATCCAACAGGACCTAATTACAACCACTAGTATCGTGCGCTTGCGTCGAATTGGGTCGGCTTAACTCCGCGTCGAGCGTTTAACAAGTTAAAACCCAAAAACACGACGGCTGTCACTGCAAACTCTCAAATCCTTTTTCCACACAGGAAAAACACGAAGGCAAGGTAAATTGTCTGTCATGCACATGCAGCATGTTATAGTTGGACTTCTTCTGTTTCAGCTGCTTTGCCTTTGCAACATGCAACGGCGGCGGTAGACAAACATCATCAACATGTTGGTGAATTCATTGGTGATGAATTCACCATCTTTCCAAAAATAAATCAGCTTCACTTCCATCTTCTCTTCAAACGCACTGTTTGCACAAATTCCAAAAACATCCAAACTGTTGACAAAAATAGTTGGCAGCTTCCGAAAATAAAACGCATCATGCAGAAAACAAATCCAGTCAAGGTTGTGGTTGAAAACGCATGCACATGTGTTTGAAAAACAACGTTGAGCTTGTCCAAAAAGTCGTCGATACCAAAATCATCTCCAAATTCATTTGCACTCCAGAAAACCTCGTTGCAAATGAATTTCAGTTCCAAAAACATTCTTCTTCTTCATCAAGTTG